CCTGGTTCGTGCCACGTGTAGCCGCAGGCACGGAGTCCGAACTAGCAGACATTTAAAAATGGCGGCGCCCGACAATATGCAAATTAAGCCCAGGAAATTCAAATCCCAGGCTTCATTTGCAACTCTGGTTGCCTACATTAACCACCCTAGTTCAAACTAGGGTGGTAGTGTAGACATAACCTGTGATTCTTCCTGGTGTCCAACTACCTCACTTACCTCAGGGCTTTGGTCACCGTCCCCCGACGAACCTAGTTTAAAGCCCTCCTCACTAGGTTTGCAAGCCTGCCCGCGAAGATGCTCCTTCCTCTCTTCGTTAGGTGGATCCCATCTCTTCCTAACAATCCTTGCGCCCGGAACAGAGTCCCATGGTCGAAGAAACCAAAGCCCTCTCTCCGACACCATCTGCGTAACCACGCATTTAAGACCTCTATCATGTCCCCCGACGAACCTAGTTTAAAGCCCTCCTCACTAGGTTTGCAAGCCTGCCCGCGAAGATGCTCCTTCCTCTCTTCGTTAGGTGGATCCCATCTCTTCCTAACAATCCTTGCGCCCGGAACAGAGTCCCATGGTCGAAGAAACCAAAGCCCTCTCTCCGACACCATCTGCGTAACCACGCATTTAAGACCTCTATCATGTAACCCCTTAATCTCCTCTTTTCCAAACTAAGCATGCCCTCCGGTCTTTGCTCATATGACTTAGATGATCAAAGGGTTGGCAAGCTTCTCACTCACTTCTGGAGCCTTTCCAGTTTCTCCAGGTCTTTTCTATACATTATTGACTAAAACTGGACACAGTACTCAAGCTGAGGCCTAACAAGTGTCAACTAGAGTGGTACCATCACCTCCATGACTTGCATACTGTCCCTCCATTAATGCAACCTAAAATAGCATTTGCTCTTTTTTGCCACAGCATCACATTGCTGACTTATGCTGAGGCTGTGAGCCACCACAACTCTCAGGTCTTTCTCAGCGCTACACATCCTATGCCTTCTGATAGATGGTGTTCCAATCTGATTTCTTCCCTGAGAGGTCCCTGCCAAAGCCTTCTCCATGAAGTGCCTGTGGAGAGAGCCTGAAAGCGGTTACTTACCTCTATAGGGATGGGGGATACCTGAGGTGGCCTTCTTCTCCTTCTAGAGGTTACATGTTGCCAGTTTTCTTCCTTATCTGAACTGTACTCTTCAGCCTGCTGTGCCTGCAGGATTAAACGCTGCCTTCTATCAAGGAAGTCTTCATCCTCTCTGATAGAACATAGGGTTGATATTTGGCCCTCAAGTCCTTTATTTTTTTCTTCCAAAATGGTGACCAGCTTGCACTTAGTGCAGATGAAGTCCCTTCTGTCTTCTGGGAGGAAGACAAACATGGCACATGGTGGGCAGGTAACAGCAGCAGACCCATCACTATCCATACCTGGCTTCCTTCTGAGAGCTGCCTCAGATGTATTAAATGCATCCTTGAAGGACAGGAGTATAGTGAAAAGATTTTAAAGAATGGCAAGTGTGTATCACCCCCTTTCCAACTCCCTCTCAGCCTCTAGTTACAAACTCCCTGGTTGCTTGCTCACTCACTCACTCCTTTATAAAGCCCTGGACTGCCTGATAGCCCTTCTCCCTGATTAAGCCTCAACCAATGAGCAAAGGCTTCTAGATTTCAAACCCTGATTAGAAGCTCACAGCTTCCACCACAAGCCACAGCACTCACTCCCGGGGGGAGGAGGAGGAAAGAAAGAAACGAAAGGAAACCAACACCCCCCCCCACCCAAACACAAGCTCAGCACACAGCAAGAAAATCCCAGACACAAACTACAGACAGCTACTTCCTTCAAGGGTCCTGTACTAGCTTCCTCCTTTATCTGGAGAACTCCCTGTTAACAGCCCCTGTTCACAAGAGGATGTTGAGAGAAAGCTGTGCGTGCAGCTGAACATCTCTCACCAGGGGGCAGTACAATATTTAACCTAATAAGGCCTTCCCTTCCCTGAGAAGCAAAAAAGGAGACATCTCCAGGAATTGGCAGGCAGGGGTGCTGGAAGTGGAACAGTCTCCTGTCATCTGAAGAAGTGGGCTGTGCCCCACAAAAGCTCATGACACCATCTATATGTTTTGTTAGTCTTTTAAGGTGCTACTAGACTATTTGTTGTTTTTAGAGTTTAGATAGTGAGGGTGTTGAGAGGCATCAAATCAAATTGTAAATTACGTATGTGATGGCAACCACCTCAAGTTCCAGCAGCTGCTGTGTGTGCAGGCCCATCTCTGTTAAGGGATGTAGGAGAACCCTGATTCCTGGCATTAGGGTTGGGTAGAGGAGCGATTCCTGCCTTTGGCAGGCATGGGCTGGACGAGTGTGGAGGGGACGCTGATTCCACTCTCAGTGGGAATGAAGTCTAGGGGGAATCCCTGCGGCCTTAAGCAGGAATATTTGCGCCTCCCCCCCACTAGTAATCAGTGGAGCCCAGGTCCCCCTGAGCTGAGGGCCAGAAGCAAGTGCTTAGTGCGGGCTGTGGGGGAGCAGGGAGGGGCTGAGGGCGGTCAGTGAGTCCCAGCCCCAGAGGGCAGAGGGAGGCGCTGCCGCTCCCCCCCGGCTGCTTTCCCCTGCCC